GTCTCAATATCACTCTTCAAACTTAAGTACCTATGTTTTGGGGATACGTAAGCGATCTCTTAATTATGAACCCGAAGATATTTAGTTAATAATCCTACATAACACGTGAATGACGTCTTTAATTTTTCTATGTTTTGCGTCCGTTCAGGACATTGGCGATCATGACTCTCCACAATTCTCTCTCCTTTATAAATCTTAATAATAGGTGTATTTTATTATCTATCCTTAACCTTGCTTCGCCATTTCTTTACTCAAGCTCGCTAGACAGGTTATGTGTTTGTTTTCCGTTACATCTTTTGCATTCAAACTGTCCCGTGAGTATCAAAATTTCCAAACCCTCTTTCCACAGAAACTTCAGTTGACTCTTCCTGATATTAAGCATAAATATTCTTTTGTTTCCATTTTCTTAAAAGCTTGATCGAAGCTCAAATGTTAGGTGCATGGTATCTTCCCCATCTTTTTTTAGAAACACGTCTCTTTTGTCTCAAGTCACATCTTCATTTGTGAGGATATTTTCTGCCCTACAGGAGAAGTGGTAAAATAATTTAAAGCAAAATAACACTAAATTTAAGTAAGATGCACAATATATATATATATATCAGAAGCGACAGAAAACAAGACGTCAGACCAGTTTATAAACAATCACACTATTTGTTTCATGTTGTGACGATATTTTGGAGAAAGATCCGTATAAACTTTATCGGTGACAAGTAAGACATTAAAAGGAAAATGAATAGAACTTAAGCAGCCATAAAATAAAAACGAATCTTGATTCCATCGCTTTAAAATCGGCTTCGGGTCATTTTTTAAATGTCAGCAGTTCCTTAAACCGAGCCGTAAAATGGATCGTCTGTGAAACAGGAATAAAATAAATGTGTTGAATAGCGTTAATAAATAAACAGAAGCGCAAAGGGAATAAAAATAATAAAAAAAAACGATAAATTGAGAACTAATTTTACGGGAAAGGAAGACAGAAGGCAAATGTTCTAGAAGAAAATTAATTAATCCTGCGTAGATTCCCTTGAGGCTGTGGACGTTATTTGTTCTCCACAAGTTCCTTTCTTTTGTTGGGGCTTCGGCTATATCAAGTTGAAACACCGATTCTCATCCTATCGTCGAGGTTATGCTAGACAGTACCTAGATGAATGAACGATCGGGGATGTCAGATGTTGTAAGCTTGGAATTGTTGTTGATGTAATGGATAACGGCTCAAAATGAGAAATCGGAGATCCGAGTTCAAATTCCAGTTTGGTTTGTTATTTTCACATACGTTCAAATACCCTTTTGAAGGTTATGAATCCACCTCCTCCCCTCACAACTATGCGTTAAATAGTAAAACTTTTATTCAAAAAAAAAAAAATTATTATCTCTAAAAATACTTATACAAAAAATGTCGGGTTTAAATAACGTTAAAAACAATAATCGTAAAAACAATAACCTTAAAAAAGACCAACAAACCAAATCAAAATATTCCTCTAGTCGCTCTTAGTAACTATTCTCCTTTTACTAAATCTACCATATTTTATTATTTCATCCATTTATATAAGTTCATTATGTCCGTTACTCATTTTTCCCTAGCTCCTATTGTCTTCTATGTCATGTGACTTTCACAGTCTCCAAGCCTTCGTCTATCATTAAGTGCCAAATACATTTGAACTTTGTTATTCTAAGAATAAGCGTCCTTTCGCTTTCATTTTTCTTAAAACATATTGGTTGTTTGATTTAAAGCAAATCACCCCAAGTAAGGCGGGAGTGCCACTAGCACGCAAGGGGTTACAGAGAGTGAGAATAAGAGTAAAGAGGTGTGTTTGAGAAAAGGATAAAGAGAAGGACAGGGATCAATGTCAGGGCATCAGAGGATGTCGATTGACATTACATTTGGATATTTGAAGATTATAGCTGTCAGGGAAGCAAGTGATAGGAAGGGAGTTCTCTGACAGGAGGTGCGAGATACGAAGCTGTTGGAGTAGAAGAGATGGCTACATTCAGCCGTTTCGACAGTGAAAGGGTGGGACCGAGATGCCAACCTAGTAGCACGCTTAAATTCATGCAGTTTGGGAACCAGAGAATGTAGCTCGTCGAAGCATTTGCCCTGAAAATACTTGTAGAAAAGTCAGAGGGAAGAAGCTAGTGATAGGAAGGGAGTTCCACTGACGCAAAGAGCGAGATAAGAAGCTGTTGGATTAGAAGAGATGGTTATATTTAGCCTATTTCGACAGTAAAAGAATGTGACGGAAATGCCATCATTGTAACGCGCTTAAATTCATGCAGTTTTGGAACCAGTGAAAGTAGCTCGTTGTAGTAGCAGTTGCCATGGAAGTACTTCTAGAAAAGACAGATGGAACCCACAGCACGTCTGTGACATAGCGACTACAGACGGGACACCAGCTCAGTAACAACCACATTGCATATCTGTCTCTGGATTTTGTCGAGAACCTCGAGCACCAGATATGATCCGCTCATGGTATGACCATGTTTCTTCTGTAGAATCACATTTTTTGTTGCCTCAAGTCTCCTTTTCATCTGTGAGGAAATTGTTCAACATTTACTGTCGTGTAGAAGAATTGATATGAAATAGCTTTTCAACGCGGTTTTCATTGTTTCTAAGTAAGATTTCCTGCTTCTTATCAGTTTAGCTTCGGTAAAGCATCTATGGTTATTCAATTCGCCTTCGGATTTAAGTGTTGCATTCTCCGTCCTCTGCACAGACAGTTATAATATAATGTTTTCTCTTCTTTTTCTACATTATTCGGGGAGAATTTCTACCGGCGGAAAAATACATGAGCAAAATAAAATGCTTCTGTTTTTTTTTTTTTTTTTTTTTTTTTCGTCCTTTTATTTCCGTTAATTTGCTGAGAAAATTCCAAAGGATAAATATCCTTTGAAAAAACAAAAGTTTAGAAAAAAGGTCCAATATAATCCAATATAAGAAAGTAAAAAGGTTAAATGAATCATTTTTTGAAGTCTTCAAACGCAACAGTTAAAAGAAAACTGGGAAAGAATTATTTAAGCAGGAAAGGAACAAATTAAAAAGCTACAAAATAAACTGAAAATAGAAAAAACAAAAAAAAAAAAAACAATCTAAAAACGCCTGCAAATTAAGGATTTTTAAAACTGAAGAAAGAATATTTTTCTAAAAAAAACTAACGAATATACCGAGAAAATGAATTTTGGGAAAGTTAGAAAATGAAAGGGCATACAGAGTTTAAATTGGTTTTAAGATTTTTTCACATATAGATTTTTGGAAAATAATGTAGAAAAAAAAAGAAAATCTGACATTCAAATAGGCCACTGATTTTTTTTTCCCAGAGGAGAAAGGAATCGGAAAAACTTGGATTCATCAAAGGAAAAATGAAACAAAAAAAAAAGAAAAAAATACGAACGAACAATTGCAGAATAAAAATGCAGATAGTAATCTGAGATAATAATCCTTTAAAAATATTCAACGAAAGAAAAAAAAATGTAACACAGAGACAATGAATCAAAAATCAATGGATAAAAAAACAACTGAATAATAGACGTTATAAATAACAAATGTCAGTTTTTTGGAACAAATGAAATACTAAAATGAATTAAGTATAGTGATTATTTAGAATTAATGAAAGACAGTCCTTGAATTATATGGCTAATCACTGGGAAGCATCATGTGAACTGCATTCTTATAGGTCAGAATCTTCTATTAATAGCAGCAAATAGTACGATTTTAAACAAGGGTCTAATTTTTCATAATTAATATCCGATTGATCTAGAGTCAAATCAATAAAAGCTTCGATTTTTCAAATGTTTATTTTTCAAAAGTTATGCTTTATTTTAACAACAACAGCAATAATAACAACAACAGCAATAATAATAATAATAATAATAATAATAATAATAGGGCTTGTAACAATTTTATAGAAATTTTACAGTACACAAAACAGAACAATCAAAGCTAATCACCAAGACATCGGGATCAAAGGCCATAAAAAGTGAACGCGCCTTTTTATTGACATGGTTGCCTCTACTGATTGTAATGTGTCTTTGAAGATCATCAAAACACTATCAAAATACAAGGATCTTGAAGTGGAATTCTAAAAAATATGGATCATGAGGTCATCAATAATTCCAGGTGTAGTTGGAGCCCTCGGTCCGATTAGAAAATGATCTCATACACTCATTGAAAGGATCCCTAGTAGCCGATGCCTTAAAGAAATATGAAATATTGTACTTATTACACATTACGAAGAGTTTACCTATGTAAAATATGTGAGATCATAAGTTTTTTTTTATATATATATATATATAAAAATGAAATGTGGAAAATCTCATGAAGCCATTTCTGACTTTAGGTCACATGTTAGGACCCGGAAGAAAATATATACAACAGAAATCAAAGCAAATAATAATAATAATAATAATAATAATAATAATAATGATAATAATGAACTGAAATTCTCGTAAAAATGAGAGAGTAAGCTCCTTGCAAGTCTTTCGAAAATATCCGTGGGGATTTCACTACTGCATCCTTAAATATTTGAGATGAAAAACATTAACAAAATATTAAATCACAATCATATGTATCAATGCAAGTCATTATTTAAAGAATTAAGGGAGTACAAATGAAAAAATTAAAAAATCCATCTCACGGAAGTAAACGTTAAACAGATGTACTGTACTGTACTGATGCGGCATTCACCGTGGGCGGATTGAGCCGGCTTCTTCCTGTTATGAGAAGAAGATTCTTGGGATAATTTACAGAAGTAGGGTACCCAGGCCTACTCGGATAACGTTCTTGCTTGCCGCGGGGTTCCCACAGACGCAGAGACAGGAACGACCAGAAGCCGCCGGTTGCCGATGCAGACGCTCCTTGGATTTTCACCAGAGCCCTTGTTAGCCGGCGTGTGTGTCAGACCTGTCCGCCTTGGGTGGCCATACCAGGAATGAAGATCCGGGCGGCATAGCTCTGACACTACCGTTTACACCCACCACCGACTGTGAGGTAAGGGTTGGACTTTGGGAACTTACAGTACCAGGTGTTCCCAAGCGGTCCCCCATCTAAGATGCTTAACTTCGGTGATCGAACGAGAACCGGTGTTTTCAGCGTGATTTGACCGTAAGTCGTTAAACAGATGAGAGGCTAATCATTTAGACTTCTTTACTAAATTTTTATTTATTTATTTCCTTCATTCTTTCTTTCTTCTTTTAAAATGTTCATTTTTCTTTCGTTTAAACCCCTTTACTACCTTTCTTTCTTTGTTTTTATTTTTATTCATTTTTAAATTCTTCCTTTCAACTTTCATTCATTTAAAATACTTTACTGTATTTCTTTCTTTCTTTCTTTCTTTCTTTCTTTCTTTCTTTCGTTTTCTCAATGAAACCAAACAACGTCACTGATATGTATTTTCCGTCTTTTCTTCGCAATCATTATACATTAGGTATTGGCAGTGCATAACGTACATACATGCTAACTAAGGGAAGGACAAGCAGTAGTTTTGAGTATTGGCAGGGCGTAATGGTCATGCTAACTGACTAAAGAACGAAGGAACAAGCAGAATAAAAGAAGCTAATATTTTTCAAGACAAGCGACGTTTCTCCCGCTTATTTGTGTTATTTATACTTTCATTTATTTTTCTGCCTCTCGTCAATATGGCTGACGCTAGACTCCAGGAGTGGAACACAGTACGCCTTCTTTCAAAAGCTGCTGCATACTCCTGGTCTTGTCCTTTCTTCAATCTTCCCTGTTCCGCTATGTGATTTTACAGAACAGAAGGTGAGAGACCACAAAAAAAAAAAACATCTACAACAACAACAACAGTAGTGCTGTGAGTGTAAGAGTATAAAATAACTTGGAACTTTTTGTCCAGTTAAAACCGCTGATAGCCTGTCAAAACAAGTAATAGTAACAATAATTGTATAGATATATTTGCTACACCCTGAGTATAGTCCACGATCGATACTGGAGAGTTGTGTCGACATGCTGACATTCAATCACGAAGGGTAATAAGCAGTCATCCGATGTGAGGACGCACATACAATAATAAAAAAAAGAGTCTCTCTGAAAATCTTTTGCAACCTTTTCAATCAATTTTCTTAATGAGCCTAGTTGATTTCTGTTCGTTACCAGTAGAGAATATATCAAATACGGAAGGTCTAGAGAAGCATCCCTACTTGATACATGAGGACACAAAACATATCCAGTAGATGCAGAAAATAGAAAGGGGAGTAAGACAAGGATGTGTCTTCTCGACAAACCTTTGCAGTGAAGTAATCATGACAGAATTTCTCATCAGGATTATTTTTTTTTAAGAAATTCAGCACAAGCAAGGCTGGAGTGCCACTAGCACACAGGGGATTACGGAGAGTGAAAGTGAGAGAAAAGCCTAGGTATTTAAGAAAGGAAAAAAGACAAGGATCAAGACAACAGAAGATGGCGATTGACGTTGCATTTAAATTTCTGAAGATTATAATTATCAGGAAAGCAAATGAGAGAAAGGGTGATCAAATGTCGGGAATTGCGTGGAAACAATCTGTTGGATAAGAAGTGGTGGTTACATTTAACTATTTCAGCAATAAATGGGTGAGACCTAGATGCCAATTTAGTCGCACGTTTAAATCCATGGCGTTGGAGCACCAGGTAAAAAAAAAACTCGTCAGAGCAGTCGCCATAAAAATATTAATAGAAAAGACAGAGGGAAGCCACATCACATCTGTGAGAAAGTATTCGAAGTCGAGAAGCTAATTCAGGATCCATTACATTAGAGATTCTTTTTTGGATCATGTCGAGAACCTCGAGATGAACGACAGGGTCTCCAAGACCAGATACGGCAAGAGAATTCAATGCAAGGACAAATGGTAGATTTTTAGATTTGTAAGATGGACGACACATGGAACCAACTTTCCTTGCAGTAGATGCATCTATTGATTCAATGAACAACATATAATTGTTCCACTTTAAGACAGTTGAAAATATGAGGACAAGTAGGTGCATTGTGACGCTATCACGGAGACAAGCATCAACCATGCTGATGGCGACTAGGGAGGGTCATTTTCTGTGGGGGTTAAATAAGAGCAATTTAATTTTGGAACCGTTAAAATTTACAAGTCGTATCCTGCCCCAATCAATCAGTTTCCAATTTTCGAGGATAGCGGTCAGGTACACTTTATCAGCGTTGCCGGGTTTACCATAGCGACAAGATAAAACGTAGTATCGTCTGCATAGATGACTACTTGGAAAGTGATGTCATCAGGGAGATCATTGATGAAGATCAAAAACAGTGTAAGAATTTATGATTGGCGGTTACAATCTTAGCAACATTAGATATACAGATGACGTATTGCTGCGAACGGATACAGGAAGGAAATTGCAAGAACTCATGCAGAAGGTACAAAAAGAAAGTAATTAAAAAAGAGTAAACATCAACTGTATGAAAAAAGAATATATTGTCGTCAGCAAAAAAGGACAATGGGAATTACAAAATTGAAGATGCCAAAATTAAACAAGTTCAAAAACGTAAATGTCTAGGAAGTGTTTAAACAGGTGCATTCAGATAAAAAATATGCCTTCCAAAAGTTAATTAATGTATCAAGAAAAAGGAAATCTCCAATAGAAACATAGAAAAGAGCACTGAATTATTATGTAATATAGACCCTGCTATATAGCAGGGAATGCTGGACCACCTAGGCACAGATGTAGAAGAGACTTGAGTCAAAAGAAATGTGGTTCTACAAAAGGATGCTGACAATGCCATAGATTGACTACGTGAGTAATGACGAGGTTTTTGCGAAAATTGAAACAAAATGAAGACACATACGTAGCAGCAAAATCAAATTAAATTAATGGATCACACGAGGATAGAGGTCTTGGTAAATTTGACACACATAGTATGTATTGAAGGTAATCGAGACAGAGGAAACCAAAGCAGAGCGTAAATAGCTTCTGTAAAAGGTTGGCAGAACAAGAACTAGAAATGCCAGCAAAATGACTTAAATTACTAAAAGGTACAGATAGCATAAATTTATGGTAAGCAACGATCTCTCAGGTTCTGAAGAGAAATGGCACATAGAAAAAGTAATTGAGACATCAAAACTTTAGTTCTTCCTATTGTCTCACTTGTTCTGTCGACGGGGCTTAGATTATGCAGGCTGTAATGAGGTATGATTCTCCAACCAGAAAATGGGCAAACTTTCTTGTAGACACAATTATATAGCCAACGAAAGTTTGCGTGCAGATCTGTTCATACAACTGGCAATATTTTCATATATATCCATAACCCGGCCAATCTTTGCGTAGAAACCGAAAATTTATAATCGATATTTAAATGACCCGCTGATGGTTGATATGTAGTTAAATTAAGCCACGCAAGAAATGTAGATCTACAGAAAGATGCAGAAGATAACATGAATCAAACATGTGAGCAAGGACCAGGTTTTAGAGAAAATATAAGCAAATAGGAAACTTGTACTTAAAATCAGTAAGAGGCAGTCGAAATTTCTGCAGCAGCTAATGACGAAAGAGGGTTTTGAAAATCTGATTTACACAGGACAGTTTGAGGGTAAGAGGGATAGAGAAAAGCAGCGCGTAGCATACTTGATGGGATTGAGTAAATTGATAGCAGAACAGGGTTTAGGAGAAATAATAAAAACTAATTAAGGGATAGGAAGATGTGGCAGGCTATGATCGCCTACGTCAAGAAAGAAAAAGGTACATAAAAGAAGAACTGAAACTAAGCTAATCTAAGCGTTTGTGCTATATTTTATCTTTTCCCTCGAAATGTTTAGTTAATTAGATGTTCTTTATTTTATTTTAATGTTCTACTTTCACTTTCATTTTCGCATATAGTTTTTCACTGTCCTTTTAATTTGCTTTCATATATTTTGTAGTCTTTATTTTTTTTCTTTTCCTGACATGTCTTCATTTTGATTTACTTAACTTCATTGTTCTTTTTCATCACTAGATTTTTCTTTTTTACTTTTTTGTTTGTAATGTAGTCATCGCATCTTTTTCTCTTTTCACATTCTTATGTTAATCTCGCTTTCTTTTTAATGTCTTTTTTTGTCTTTCCTTTTTCCTTCTTTCTTTATTTCTCTTTCCTTCTTTCTCTCTTTTCTTTTTTTCTTTCATTTTTCTTTCTTTCGTAGAACCTTTTTTTAATCAGTTCCTCTTTCTTTCGTTTAAACCCTTTACTACTTTCTTTCTTTTAATATGTCCGTCTTTCTTTCATTTAGACCCATTTAGATTACATTTTCCTTTTTTATTTCCATCATTATTTCTTTCTTTTTTTTAATATGTTCAATTTTGTTACGTTTAAATCCGTTTACTACATTTTCTTCTTTGTTTTTTTTTATTCTATTTTTCTTTCTTTCTTTCTTTTAATATATTCTACTTCCGTTCGTTTAAACCACTTTACAGCCTTTCTTTATTTCTTTCTTTTTTTGAATATGTTCTACTTCCGTTCGTTTAAACCCTTTCTATCTTCTTTCATCCTTTCTTTCTTTATTTCTTTTAATATGTTCTACTTCCGTTCGTTTAAACCCCTTTCTATCTACTTTCTTTCTTTCTTTCTTTTAATATGTTCTACTTCCGTTCGTTTAAACCCCTTTCTATCTTCTTTCTTCCTTTCTTTCTTTCTTTCTTTCTTTCTTTCTTTCTTTTTTCTTTCTTTATTTTAATATGTTCTATTTCCGTTCATTTAAACCCCTTTACAAACTTTCTTTATTTCTTTCTTCTTTCTTTCTTTCTTTCTTTCTTTTTTTTAATATTTCTACTTCCGTTCGTTTAAACCCTTTTTCTTCTTCTTTCTTTTCTTTCTTTCTTTCTTTCTTTTAATATGTTCTACTTCCGTTCGTTTAAACCCCTTTACAGCCTTTCTTTCTTTCTTTCTTTCTTTTAATATGTTCTACTTCCGTTCGTTTAAACCCCTTTACAGCCTTTCTTTCTTTCTTTCTTTCTTTCTTTTAATATGTTCTATTTCCGTTCGTTTAAACCACTTTACAGCCTTTCTTTCTTTCTTTTTTCCTTTTTTCTTTTAATATGTTCTACTTCCGTTCGTTTAAACCCCTTTCTATCTTCTTTCTTCCTTTCTTTCTTTCTTTCTTTTAATATTTTCTACTTCCGTTCGTTTAAACCCCTTTACAGCCATTCTTTCTTTCTTTCTTTCTTTCTTTTAATATGTTCTATTTCCGTTCGTTTAAACCCCTTTACAAACTTTCTTTATTTCTTTCTTTTTTTTAATATGTTCTACTTCCGTTCGTTTAAACCCCTTTACAGCCTTTCTTTCTTTCTTCCTTTCTTTCTTTCTTCCTTTCTTTCTTTCTTCCTTTCTTTCTTTTAATATGTTCTATTTCCGTTCGTTTAAACCCCTTTCTATCTTCTTTTCTTTTTTCTTTCTTTTTAATATGTTCTACTTCCGTTCGTTTAAACCCCTTTTTACTTTCTTTCTTTTCTTTTTCTTTCTTTCTTTTCTTTCTTCCTTTCCTTTCTTTCTTTCTTTCTTTCTTTCTTTCTTTCTTTCTTTTAATATATTTCTACTTCCGTTTGTTTAAAACCCTTTACAGCCTTTTTATTTCTTTCTTTTCTTCCTTTTCTTTCTTTCTTTCTTTTAATATATTTCTACTTCCGTTCTTTTAAACCCCTTTACAGCCTTTCTTTCTTTTAATTTTTTTTGTTTAAATTCTTCCTTTCTTTTTCTTTTTTTTTAATATGTTCTACTTCCGTTCGTTTAAACCCCTTTCTATCTTCTTTCTTTCTTTCTTTCTTTCTTTCTTTTAATATGTTCTACTTCCGTTCGTTTAAACCCCTTTACATCTTTTTTCTTTCTTTCTTTCTTTCTTTCTTTCTTTCTTTCTTTCTTTTAATATTTTTTCTACTTCCGTTCGTTTAAACACTTCCCTTTACAGCCTTTCTTTCTTTCTTTCTTTCTTCCTTTCTTTTTCTTTCGTTTTTAATATGTTCATTTACTTCCGTTCGTTTAAACCCTTTCTTTCTTTCTTTCTTTTTTCTTTCTTTTTTCTTTCTTTCTCTTTCTTTATTTAAACCCCTTTTTCTTTTTTTTCTTTTTAATATATTTCTACTTCCGTTCGTTTAAAACCCTTTCTTTCTTTCTTTTTTTTTCTTTCTTTTTTCTTTCTTTCTTTCTTTTCTTTCTTTCTTTCTTTTAAATATGTTTCTACTTCCGTTCATTTTTTCCCTTTACAGCCTTTTCTTTTTTTTTTTTTTCTTTCTTTCTTTCTTTCTTCCTTTCTTTCTTTCTTTCTTTTTTAATATGTTCTACTTCCGTTCGTTTAAACCCCTTTACAGCCTTTCTTTCTTTTCTTTCTTTCTTTTCTTTTCTTTCTTTCTTCCTTTCTTTCTTTCTTTTTTCTTTTAATATGTTCTACTTCCGTTCGTTGAAACCCCTTTTCTATCTTTTTTTCTTTCTTTCTTTCTTTCTTTTAATATATTTCTACTTCCGTTCGTTTAAACCCTTATCTTCTTTTTCTTTTCTTTCTTTCTTTTTTCTTTCATTTTCCTTTAAGCCCTTTCTTTTCTTTCTTTTCTTTCTTTTTTTTTAATATGTTCTACTTCCGTTCGTTTAAACCCTTTTTCTATCTTCTTTTTCTTTCTTTCTTTCTTTTCTTTCTTTCTTTCTTTCTTTCTTTCTTTTCTTTTTCTTTCTTTCTTTTAATATGTTCTACTTCCGTTCGTTTTAAACCCGTTTACAGCCTTTCTTTCTTTCTTTCTTTCTTTTCTTTTTTTCTTTCTTTCTTTTAATATGTTTCTATTTCCGTTCGTTTAAACCCCTTCCAGCCTTTCTTTCTTTCTTTCTTTCTTTCTTTCTTTTTTCTTTCTTTCTTTCTTTCTTTCCTTTCTTTCTTTCTTTTCTTTCTTTAATATCTTTCTACTTCCTTTCTTTTTTAAACCCCTTTCTTCTTTCTTTCTTTCTTTCTTTCTTTCTTTTAATATGTTCTACTTCCGTTCGTTTAAACCCCTTTCTATCTTCTTTCTTTCTTTCTTTCTTTCTTTTAATATGTTCTACTTCTGTTCGTTTAAACCCGTTTACAGCCTTTCTTTCTTTCTTTCTTTCTTTCTTTCTTTCTTTCTTTCTTTCTTTCTTTCTTTTAATATGTTCTACTTCCGTTCGTTTAAACCCCTTTACAGCCTTTCTTTCTTTCTTTCTTTCTTTCTTTCTTTCTTTCTTTCTTTCTTTTTTTAATATGTTCTACTTCCGTTCGTTTAAACCCATTTCTATCTTTCTTCTTTTTCTTTTTTTCTTTCTTTTTTAATATATTTCTACTTCCGTTCGTTTAAACCCTTTCTTTCTATCTTCTTTCTTTCTTTCTTTTAATATGTTCTACTTCCGTTCGTTTAAACCCCTTTCTATCTTCTTTCTTTCTTTTCTTTCTTTTAATATGTTCTACTTCCGTTCGTTTAAACCCCTTTCTATCTTTCTTTCTTTCTTTCTTTCTTTCTTTCTTTCTTTCTTTCTTTTAATATGTTCTACTTCCGTTCGTTTAAACCCCTTTACAGCCTTTCTTTCTTTCTT